ACAACAGAAACTGATTATCAGGACTAGAGGAAACTGATTATTAATCACGCACAACAGAAACTGATTATCAGGACTAGAGGAAACGGATTATTAACCACGCACAACAGAAACTGATTATCAGGACTAGAGGAAACGGATTATTAACCACGCACAACAGAAACTGATTATCAGGACTAGAGGAAAGTGATTATCAGGACTAGACTTGAGGAAACTGATTATTAACCACGCACAACAGAAACTGATTATCAGGACTAGAGGAAAATGATTATCAGGACTAGAGGAAACTGATTATTAACCACGCACAACAGAAACCAGATAAAAGACCTAGCTACTGTTATATTTATTTGTTTGTTTTGGAATTTCGCGCAAAGCTACACGAGGGCTATCTGCGCTAACCGTCCCTAATTTAGCAATGTAAGACTAGAGGAAAGGCAGTAGTCATCACCACCAACTCTTGGGCTACTCTTTTACCAACGAAAAATGGGATTAACCGTCACATTGTAATGCCCCCACGGCTGAAAGGGCGAGCATGTTTAGTGTGACGGGGATTCGAACCCGCGACCCTCAGATTGCGAGTCTAGTGCTCTAACCACCTGGCCATGCCGGGCCTCATGTTACAAAAAGAGATTTCTTTCTTGCTTTATATACTATTTCATAACGAAAATATATTGTAACTTTCAAGAAATGAGAAACAGCAAAATAAACTGTGATATACATGTGTGAAGTAACTTCTGCTAAAATAGAGTAAATATTGTCAGTCCCAAAACACACTTCCTTACAAGGAATAAGTAAAAAACCAACCTTCATGAGGAGGAGAAAACGAAGGCTCCGAACTGGAGTCAGGTGGACTGTCAGGTAAACACAGGCTAAGGAAAGATATGAATAACTTATTAATATTACTTCCTTCAAATACAAGAATAGTATATTTAAAACATCTATTTTTTAGCATACTGTGTATTAAAACATCTATTTTTAACATACTGTGTATTAAAACATCTATTTTTTTAACATACTGTGTATTAAAACATCTATTTTTTAACATACTGTGTATTAAAACATCTATTTTTTAACATACTGTGTATTAAAACATCTATTTTTTAACATACTGTGTATTAAAACATCTATTTTTTAACATACTGTGTATTAAAACATCTATTTTAACATACTGTGTATTAAAACATCTATTTTTTAACATACTGTGTGTATTACAACACATATTTTTTAACATACTGTGTGTGTTACAACATCAATTTTTAACATACTGTGTATTAAAACATCTATTTTTTTAACATACTGTGTGTGTTACAACATCTATTTTTTAACATACCGTGTGTTAAAACATCTATTTTTTAACATACTGTGTGTAAGGCTCTGAAGGAAGATGTAGTACATATATATATTATTTTCTAGAAAGAAGTATATCTCGAAATTAGGGTCTTTTCAAACAGGTAAGTTTCTGTAAATCTAAACGCAACGACTGAAACAAATTATATTATATTCTTATACGAAATAACAAACATTTGTGGTGATTTTCTCAAATAGTGCAATTATTTGAAGTATTTCAAAAACTTTCGTGATAGTTGGCAAAAGACAAAATGTATTGCAAGGAAGTCTGCACTAACTCACTTATCCGTTGTAATAATATATATATATTCGTTCCATGAAATCACAGAGGGCAGGTAAATCGTGTGGCGAATCGCAAACACATTCCGCCACGAAACCAACCGATTTTGTTTTCAACAAAAATTTTCATTATTAAATCACAGCCCAATGAAGGCCACGGCTTAAGTATAAAAAAATGCCTTTTCTTTAAGTCATACATACATAATTTATAATTAGAAATAAATCAAGACTTTAGTTCATTAAAGTAAATTAGGTAACAAACTATCTTATCGTTATCATAAACCATGATAAGTACTGTAGACATGGATACAAAATATGGATTTGTAGCTTGAGAAAATAATGTAGACACTACTTCCAGCCTAGTTTGTTTACATTATTCAGAGTCCCTAGTTGTAGACTTGAAAATATAATCTTTACATATTGATTGAACTTGTAAATTTCTGAGTAGTCAGTTTCTGGTTAACATTTTGATATTTTTTTAAACATTAGTCTATTTTAGCGCAAAGCTTCGCAATAGGCTATGTGTGCTCTCTCCACCACGGGAATCGAACGCCGTATTCTAGCGTTTTAAGTCCATAAACTTACCACTGACTTACTTGTGGAACCACAGTAGTATGATTATTTATAATTTTATGTTGCTTGAACATAATAATTTTTTTCTATTGTCTTTTAAACTATGCAGAAATGGATCGCGGACTTACAATCCCCATTTCAAGAAAGCATACTCTAATATTATCGTAGATGGCTATATAGTTTGTGTCGGTTGGCGTTTGATTATATTTCATATTTTCCTTTAGCATTATATTAAATTAAGAAACCAAAGCATTTCCGTTTATAATGTAATGTTACAAACACATGCATAAAACATTTCAAAATGTACACTGAGTACGTGAGTAGTGCTAAACTACATGAAAAAAATATGATAATGAACATTTTTAAAAGTTTTTTTTTTTATATACGAGAGAAGCTGACCGTTGTGACACTGAACAGCTCACACTCCGGATGTGATTGGGTGCTTCTCTCACAGTGGCAACATTAACAGGAGGAAAGCTGTAGTAACTGGAAACAACACCATCATCTATGGTTGAAACACTCTTGTGTAGATTTCCTGGTCCTGAAGACGATAATACGGAAGAATTGACGGTGTTTAGGCTAGGTGTGTTTGTCTGGTTCTGGATGGAAATAGTGTTCGCCCTAGTCAATTGGGGCTCCGTGGGCTTGGCGCCACTGTTCACCAGAGCTTCATGAAAGTAGCTGTTTAAATAATACGTTTATTTTTTTACAAATCAGTTTTGCTTTATTTTCATTGTAATGATTTACTACACCTTAATATACATGTACGGAATGCATGAGTATTTTTATCTACTAAAAATATGTCGTCACGAAACACACACATACATTGTATTGTGCTAAATTTAAGATATGTCTATAACGATAGCATATTGTACAATTAATATAAATAACTAGAGTAAAATCTGATTTAATAAACTTTGTATATTTTTTTTTAGTAAACTAAACTGTGTAAGATGAAAGCACACAATGAATAGTAGTATCAAGTATAAATATGAAATAAGTACGTTAAACTTGTACATCCGTATAAAAGTCCCGAATTGAATCATTTCATAGTTAACTCATAGGAAAGTAATGTAATTTCAAACTTTCTACACACGACTTGCATGTTCAATTTTAAAAGCTGCCTGGGGTTTGAGCCTTACTTTAATCAAACTGCTACAAAACATCAGCGTTAGCCTCAAACTGCTTTATCGTTTGTTATCACATGATTCATTTATTCGCGTTTTTGAAAGATTTATTACACATACCAAAATAAGCAGTACAGAAACATATTTTTTTGGCTAAGTATTATGTAGGTTATTGAAGCCAGAACTGTTAATCACACTTCACTGGCTTTCTGTAACTTAACAAAAAATAAATAATAATAACTTCGTTCAAATTCTCAAATAGATGTTTTTGGATTCAGTTTGTAATTTACTTATAATGACTTATGGATACAATTTTAAACTGAAATTCGGACAACAATAATAAAAACAACTGATACACACCTAATACACACACACTTAATACTCGTTGACTTTATTTTAATATATTTACTAGTTTGTTTGTTGAATTTCGCGTAAGGCTACTCGAGGGTTCTCTGCGCTAGCCCTCCCTATCTTAGAAGTGATAGATTGGAGGGAAGTTAATTACTAAACACCACCCACCGCCAACTCTTGGACTACTTTAATCGAATAGTTGGGATGACCATCATATAACAACACCCCAGCGGCTGAAAAGACGAGCGTGTTCGGTGTTTGCGTGTCGAGCGCCCTAGCCACCAGGCCGTGCCGGGTCGAATTTTACTAATACTAGCATAAAATACCCGCGCTCCGCTACAAGATTCAAAGGGCCCCTCATGATTCATAGAGCCCTAATGTACCGGTCTATCTCCTCCATATGCCCAATTAGTTATATAGCTACTCCACGGGGCCCGTCCCTGCAAATAAATTCCAGTAAAACACTCGCCCGTGGTACCCGAACATGTGTGCCACGTTTGGCTACCTGGTGAAACGAAACGAAAGTTCCGTATGGGTGTTTTCGTCGATGACCTGGAAGGGTAGTCAGGTCACGTCAAAGATCTTTATCGTTGTTCAGGTCCGAGGTGACCTTGGGGAGGGGGGTTCAATATTTGTTAGACAGATAGTGAATGAGGATATGCACACAGTTTCAAACATTGCGCCACCGGGACCACTACAAGGTCCGGGAACACAAAATCCGATGCCAGATTCGGTTCAGTGACCCTAAAAATCATAATGGCTAGATTACCTTCCGGGGGCGTTTATGCCTCCCTTGGTAGGGGGCTTCGCTACATAGAAAAGGATACTCCCGAGCCACCCTGAGTTAGCCTGTCAAGTTTGGTTCTAATAGCTCCACAACTGTGGAAAACCAATAAATTCACAAAGTGGATAAATATAGGATTATTGATGCAAATCAATAGTCTGGAACTGTTGCATGCAAAATTCATAAAGAATAAAACTGATTATATAAGATTTATTTTCTATTTATTTAATTCGTACGTCGAAATTCCAGAATCAGCTTCAGTAATTTTAATATTATGAAATTTCATCGACAGTCTGCTAATAAAAATACTTACAACTAGCTGGAGTACACGTCCCCTGGAAGGAAGTTATGTAAATTCATGATTAATGAAAATTATCTTAGGATATGAAAAATTGCTTCCCTTATATGTAAGTGTAAAAAAAAAAAACAACAACAAAAACGCGATTTTGCTTGTATCTCCGCATTGATCCAACAAACCTTCATGTCAAATTTGGTGAAGATCCATCAACAGGGGGCGAAGTAGTGTTAATAAACATAAAATGGCCCATAAAAACTGCAAAACACAAAACTGAAAATTTGTACGTATCTCCCCATGGATCCAACGAACTTCCATACCAAATTTGGTGAAAATCCATCAACAGGGGGTGGGGTGGTGGTGAAAAACTAAAAAACGCCTATAAAAACTGCAAAACGCAAAATACAGAACAGAAATTTTGTATGTACCCTCGCATGGACCTAATGAACCTCCATACCAATGTTGGTGAAGATCCACCCACACCCTGCGAAGTAGTTACATGGACAGACAACAGACACTACTATTATATTTATAATAATGTGAAATCAGAACCTCAAAAAGGTTTATTAGTTCATATAAAAGTTATAGTATTTTATATTTGTTTTTTCTTCGACTATGGCTTAAACCATTGGGGATTATACTACAAATGACTTCTTAAGCAAGAAACTAAGTAACGATTTTCGAAATAATGAAATGTGTGGCTTAGCAACTGAACAAAACAAAACAACCAATGATGTTACACAGGTTCACCTTATTACTCTATTTTATATTTATTAACTATTTAAATAACCTATTTAAACTAACTCACTAGCTTTAGTTTACATACACATACATGGTTCAGAAGGTTTTATAGCTGAACACCATGTTAATCAATCATGTTTAGTATCATTAATTCATGTGCCATATAAAACAGGGACAGCATTGAAAGATTATTTGTCTTTTATTAATTAGTAAACAGAAGCAATTCTATAGCCTTAATAAACGATGTTAATGATTCCTTGGAAAGTAACATTCTAATGAAGCTGATTATATATTTCCGCCTCAGAGGACGATTTGATAGCTTGACTGACAATATAGGTTGCTGATCAAAATTTAGTAGGCGAGGAATGTTGTAAAACATCAGTACCAGCAGAGTTTCTCAAAGCAAGTATTATCACTTAGTGGGCGAGGAATGTTGTAAAATGATAATACTTGCTTTGAGAAACTCTGCTGGTACTGATGTTTTACAACATTCCTCGCCTACTAAATGATAATACTTGCTTTGAGAAACTCTGCTGGTACTGATGTTTTACAACATTCCTCGCCTACTAAATGATAATACTTGCTTTGAGAAACTCTGCTGGTACTGATGTTTTACAACATTCCTCGCCTACTAAATGACAATACTTGCTATGAGAAACTCTGCTGGTACTGATGTTTTACAACATTCCTCGCCTACTAAATGATAATACTTGCTTTGAGAAACTCCTCTTGTAAACACCAACATCCAACAGCATACTAGATTCCATTTAAAAGTAATTAATGCATATGAAAGTTCGCTATGAACATTTCTTAACCCATGTATTAACATGCTGTAGTGGGTCTTTTAGATACTCTAGGATATATCATAATGTTGTTGTTTTTTTCACATTCGATTTGGATCATTTCCGGTAGAGTATTTGTACATTTCGTAATGCATAATTTCAATATTTCTATATTGTACCATAAAAATCAGACTGAACCGATACGCATAATATGAATAAAATTTCTGTTGTTACCTCTCTTTTTATACTTGTGAGGTTTTAAAGCGAAAGTGATTTGTGCTAAATATAATTCGTGTCACAATAAAACATCTGTGATTCAGTCAAACAAAAATGTTTCATACAATGAATTAATTATGCTCAACTAAACATTCCAAAACATTTACCACCATGAATTCGACTTTTTTTAAACCCATTTTCTTGTGATGTTGTTTAGTCTAAAGATCATTAACACGCTGCTGAATAATACTACAGAAACAGGGAGGATTAAAAAAATAAGCACCTATTTAATACCTGTAAGTGAATTGTGGTTAATGTAAGATTAAAGGTTTAGTCGTGAAATTAAAGGTTTAATAGTAAACTGAGAACTTTTTTATTTTTATTTGTGTATCACATACCATTATGGCCATAAAACATGATACAATATGACATTTATCCAGTCTTATAAACACAATCAAATGAAGCTGTGTGGAACATAGTCAATGTCATTCTCCGCGGAACATGTGTAAACTTCTATATTTCAAAGAAAAGAAGACAGAAATTGCCAAGAGAACAATAGATGATATCCACATACATCAAAAATCAGTTGTTTTTTTTGTAACACGAATTTCTTATCGGAAAGTTTACACCAAAAATACTAAAGGACGTTCTAAAACAAACCATTTCCTGCAGACTAAGAAGAAAGGCATTTTTTTATTTATAAGATGGATAGGTATAAAGACAAATTATAGTCCTGGAACACCACATACCATTTTTATGATAGGACACAATTTACCTCAAAATAACCATTTGGTCGTTTGTTTGCTTCTTATGGCAAAGCCACATTGGACTACCTGCTGTGTACATCGTGGGGAATTGAGCCCCGAATTTTAGCTTTTAAGTTAGTAGACTTACCGCTATCACACCGAGGGAATTTTTAGAGTAAAGTCACATTGTGCTATCTGCCGTGTCGACCGCAGAAATCGAACCCGGGGTTTAAGCGTTGAAAGTCCGTGGATTTCCGCTGTCCCACAGGGTGACCTATCTGGTTGTAAAAGTTTACGTGACAACTTATAAAATTCTAAAAGTTCTTGATGTTTAGACTGAGGTATTCATAAGTTTCTTAATTACCTATTAAATCTTCTGGATGAGGACAACATTCCGTCATCAAATGACACCGAATACACGATCAGAGTTTCTTGCTTTTTACACATACAGAATGATGGTTGTTGAATGTTGATTTAAATACTAAAACCTTCTTTTCCGTTAAAACTTATGTACTTTAGAATGATTGCAACAGTGATCGAAACGTCGTACCTGTTTCCTTTCTTACTGTAAAAGCTGTAACTTGTAATAGAATACTACGATCCTCTGAATTTGTTAGTAGTATGCGGAAGCTTCTCAGA